CGATCAATCTTTTGTGTTGGACCAGATTTCTATTTGAAAACAATGCGTATCCATTCGCTGACAAAAGCTCTTCCATAATATCGCCTTTCAAGATAAGACCACTGTGTTCCCAGTGAGTTATGGCTTTAAAGCCGGGCAGAGATAGAATGACAAATTACACTAATTTCATTAGACTAAGGGGCTGTTTACTTTAGTTTTTCCCCTTTTTTTCCTCTAGTGCTTGTGTACATATCCCCTTTATTTCATCCGACAGCCTCTGTACTGTGATTACTGCCAGCTCCAGTCGTACAGAAACATCCCAAAATCTCGCACTGGTGGTTGGCGTTTGCTTGACCGTGGTTCAGCTGGTGGACGTTCATTTTCTGAGGGATTATTAATTACAGACGGGCCGAAAAACGTCTCCCACAACCCAGACTCTTCTCGTTTCACCGTTCAGTTTACCCTTCTTTTGGGTGCTTCCTAAGCCCCCGGCAGTTTATTTGCGCCCTTTGTTCTCTACAAAGGCAGCTTTGCAACCAAATGCTGTCATAAGACTCACAGCCAAAGCTCGGGAGATAGGTGGATGGTGTCTGTTTTAGCTTCAACACTCTGAAACTAGGTCAGTGCACAGGGTGAGTCAGAGCCAGGATTTATGGAGCTTTGAAAGCCCACCTGGAAGTTTTTAGACTTGATAAATGCTTTTTTTTTTGGCCTAGAATTGTTTTTTTACGATTCTTATGAGTGATCACTCCATGATAATGAGTGAGATTATAAAGTTAAATTTAAGATCACATTGCATTTTTCTTTGTTTCTAAAGAGTTATTTAGAACCTGTTGATGGTTTTTATACAGGTTGAGTTTCTTGAGACTTGGTTTGAAACATTTGGATGTCAGACTCATAAGAAGGATTTAAGAAAGCTCAGTTTAGAGCAGGATTTACCCATATTTACATATATATATATAAAACAAGAGCTGGTGTGAACCAATAGTTTATGTGCTTGGCTTCCATTTTAATGCCATTTTTCTGATGGGCAACATCATTTATTGACATTTAATGTCAGTTGTACAGACTGGTACAGTCTGGGCTTGTTTGTCTGAGCCACATATTTGTGTATTTATAGATATAAATCAGTGTTAGGGGGGATTCAGAAAGCAAAGGGAAAATAACATGTCCGAATACTAAAGTAATGGGTGAGGGGACTTTTTTTCTTTTTAAAGCATAGCCAGAATATAGTCGCCATCTTGAAAGCCGCCATACTGGATCATGGGCAAGTTTTCCCGATGGGGAGGTGGTCGTGCAGCATATCAGAGACGACCAGCAATCAGAAATCCACCATCATACAGATAGATGAGTGGATAAGTCGCTGTAATAAAACGTGATGCCTGATAATTGGAAATTGGATGTGTAACTTAATCCTCCAATCTTAGAAATAATGTGATTATTGAGACGCGATAACGTCTAAAGTGAATTTAGCTTGACATCTCAGTCAGCATATTGTGAAGGTTACCTTTATTATCATATATATTTATTTTTGTGACTTAATTTTATGGTGATTTTAAATTGAGAGCACATTTGTTGCCACTGAAAGGGACACCTGCTGTATCACAAATCATTATAGATTATCATCATAGTTAAAGAGATCAACCCAAAATATAAAGAAATGGCAGAAATTAAAAGCAATATTAATGTTACTGAAGCATAGACTCACACAAAGGACACCATTGTTTTACATTATTATATGTATTGACAGATATTTTTGGTGGTACTGAAAAATGATTGAATTTTCATATGTATCAAGTTTGACGTTGTTACTACAATATTAGTGTTGTTTTTTTCTGAGGTCCAAAACCAAATTTAAAACACGCTGTGCTTTATTCTGCATCATTCTGCAACCTTGTTTAAACAACCTATTTTTGAAAACCAAGCGCCTCACATTGCCCCGCCAACAACATCTCTGTGAACTTGGATTTCAGCAGCTTCAGAAAAAAAAAGAAGGTTTTATTGACTTTTAAGCACTCCGTTTTTTTCTAGTGGGAGCTGGTTAGGCTTCATTTAAAGCCCGGTAAATACATTACCGTCATGAATGTGGCCCTAGCTCCTGGACTCTGATCGGGTTAGGCAGCGTTCAGGCTGAACGCACTGCAGTGTGTGTGAGTCCCGGAACACACACACTGACACATTCAAGCGCACGTGCAAAGCTACACTCAACAAAATCAGTGTTTGGGTCATATCGGCTGCTTAAAGGGGTTCAGCGACTCGTCAGTGTGTGCTTACACATAAAAACACTTTTTAGAGAACCGTCCACCATCCTGGCTTGCAAAAATGTGCCAGTATGAAGACTTGAAATGACTTCACTCTTTGAAATTCTGTTTTTTTTATGTCCACTGTGTCGTATTCATTAATTGTTAAAGATAATCAGGGTGTGTTATGACATGTCGTGCTCGCTAAATTCAGACTGTGAGGCCGCAGTAATGCTTTCTGGATCATCTAAAACGGTGAAAGAATAAAACATGAGACCCGTCTCAGATGTGAGACAACATTACAGCAAGTTCACTGACTCTCAATTATAAGGAACATTAGTCGAGAGCCCAATGGTGAGTGACGGAGGTTTTATGAGGTTCACAAACGGACGCCCCAGTGTGTATATGCATGTATAGATTAGTGTGTGTGTCCGTGTGAGGGTGATGACGTGTGTGTTTGTGTCAAGGAGCTCGGTTCCTCTTAAATTAGATGGACTGAAAATATGGAGGCAGGGAAATCAAAGAGATGCTGGAAAACAACAAAATTGTGATTCAAGAAGCAGAATGGAAAACACTCCCCTGCTATGTATGTACAAATCTATATCTAAATCTATCTATATCTATATGTGTGTGTGTGTGTGTGTGTGTGTGTGTACAGGTATAGGCCAACAAAAGAAAGACTATGAGCTTTGGAAAAGATCTCAAAAGAGCTGTGACCGGTGGAACCGGTGACTCACCACCTGAAATGTCAATACCCTGGATAGATGTCTTGTAGTAAAGCAGCTCAGTCCAGTGACCAATGCCGGCCTCAGCTTCCTCCCTCTGGACTGAGCTGGCCATGCAGATTATGAGATGAACCCTCTGATGCTACACGGGAACTGCATTTAGACAAAGAAAACAGCAAGGGAACTCCCGGAAACACTTCATGAAGCATGAATTCAACAAAGTTTTGGAGCAATCCAGACACTGAAAAGACCTATCTGGACGTTGCCCCTCTCTCTTTGCTATCTATTCTCCATTTTAATTGGTACAAAATTTTGATTCAGCATCAATCAAAGCGCTGCCGGGCAGAGTGAGGCCCAGACACTAATTAATGACACAGATATAATTAAAGCCGGAGCACCTTCAAGATAAGTCAGAGCACATCATTTTCAGGATTCACACTCTCGCTTTGGGTCTGTGGTCCCCCGCTGGCTCCGCCGGTGTGAAGAGCCTCTTAAAAGCAGCATTTTCTTTTTTTAAGGTGTTTTTCTGAGCTCTCGTTTCTCATGTGCGTGGGTGCAAAATATCGCGGCTCATTAGCCCCTCGCTGTGGGCCCGTCTGAATCAGAAGCTTCTCACCTGTGAGTGTTCAGCACTCCATTAGTGCTGGCTTGTTGAATGTTCACAGTTTTATGGACTCCACCCAATCAGTGCTGCCCAAAAAAAAAAATCATCTCCAGAATCCCCAAGACAAATTAGCAGTGTGAGACGATTACAGGATGTTCAGACACCTGTCGCCCATGTTTTTAGGGTTGGTCTGTTAATGCCTGTGCTTGTTTTTCATGTCTACAATGCCATCTGCTGGCTTCCTCTCTACATATTAGGATTATGGTGACTCACAAGTTCAGTCGGCAAACAGAATTAGAAACTATTCAAACTATTTAGAGCAACTAGAGCTACTGTTGAACATGCTTTGTGAAAACAAAGAAAACAATTCAATCTTAAAAACAACGTTTTTTGTTTTTTTTTGTCCTGAAGTTCCGTTTCATATTCATTTAGAACAGGAAACGTCAGACCCCGTCAGGAGTGTGCTGACTCCTTCCTTTCTTACCTAAATACAACTGAAAATGTTAATCAAACCAAAACCTTCAGACCCGATTTTCATTTAGAAGGCATGTACATGTTAGCACGGCGACAAAAACAGACAAAGTCAGAATGATGGTCAAAGTGCTGAAATGTTACACCTTTTGCATCACATCTGAATATTTCCTCCTCTTTAAATAGTGGGGAAGCTAGCAGCTGACAAACAAAAGACAAACAGTGAAAAAGAAGTACAAAATGTGTTCTTTTTATCCCCAAGGAAATTAAATTACACATTTCTGCATTTTTTTTTTTTTTTTTAATAATCACTTTGCCTTCCCAGTGTTTTAGCTAATGTCATCAAAGTTATGAAATGTTTTCAGTGTTCCGTTGGAAAAAATACTGGCTTATGTTAATAACCTTTTGTCCCTGGGGGTTGCAAATACTTCACAGAAACACTTTAGAATACCATACAAAAATATGACTGTTAGATATAGAAATGATGGAGGATCTGGATCAAAGCCCTTTTTATGTTAGTCTTGCACCACTTTGAGCTTTCAAACGGGGATTGTTACAGTACGGTGAGGATTTCATCATTATTCAACCAGTCTTTGATGATGGGATGTAAAAAAAAATACAAAAATACAACGGCTCAGTGTTCAAAAGGATTGTTTTCATAGGATAGGATTTAGGATAGTTAGACCCCTCAAAAATCCACATGACAGCAGATGATTTTCGGAGGAACAAACAAGGAGCAACGATGGAGCCAAATGTTATCCTCTCTCCGCTACGTGGTCTCAGGATGCTTCCGGGAAGGCTTTTTCCCTCCTAAATGGGGAGCTGGGTCACAGTCACGCCGGCGGATTCAGCAGAGCTAAAAAAACAACTGTGACTTTGAAGCCCTGCCTGGCTCCTCTCTGGACCGTGCCCAGGATTTCCCCCCAGTGGCCCGAGGCTCATTCCAGCCCCCCCCTGACCTGCCGGCCTTCCCGGACTCGCGTCAGCTCGTCTTGGGGGTCGTATCAGAGCTCCACGGTTCTCAGGTGGCCGCGGGGGGACACGGCGGCCAGCACGCTTTGGGGCAGACACTCCGACTTCTCGGCCGTGCTGCCGCAGCAGGACCAGTGGGGCTTCCCGGGATGCCCCCTGTGGCCGTGTCCACAGCCTTTGAACCCTCCTGCAGCCACAGGGGGCAGAAACAGAGCAGAAAAGCCTTTATAGGGACTGAAAATGAGCAAAAACAGAGTAAAAGTGGATGACCGTGTGTCTATATTAAATGAATGTGAGACATGAGGGCACCACCGTTCAGCTAAATGTACTGGACTTGTTTCTAAAGCCCAGTTAAACACATCTGCACCAACTGTAGACGCACACGGCCACAACAGTGGAGGAATCCAAAGGGTGAAGACATCCCACTGATACCTAAGGTGCTCTAACAGGGAATAGTGGCCTGTTGACCGGTGTGTTAACGCCTCCTGTTGCTTGGAGTTCTGTTGTATTTGTACATATGGCTGCAGTGGGCAGCGGTTTTCTGTTGCTTCATCTGAGTGTCCAGATGTGTTACCAGAGCATGGGGGCTCCAGCACAAACAAACAGACAGACGGCTTAAGTGCTCCATCTTTAGTGGAGAAAAAGCTGGAAGGGATGGCTGAGACACCGCTGACATTCTGTCTTTATTAAACGTGGATCAGTGGCTTAGCAGTTGTTTGTGTGAGAGTGAGCTAAAGGTTGATAGTAAGAAGGTCTGTGTTGGTGAAGGTGTTGGTGAAGGCGAGTCCTGGGTACCCGGCATGGTTCCCGCGCAGCCGCAGCGAGCCTCTTTGGCCCCCCCGCTGGAGCAGAAGGAGCAGCAGTGGAACGTCCCGCCGTGGTGCCTCATCTTCCGCTTCACGCTCAGAGCGAAGGGGGAGCCCTGCGGGGACACGGGGGCCGGTGAGGCCGGCTCACCCCGGGGGCCGGAGGGCACCTGGCCCGGCCCGGGGGCGGCGGGTCTCACCTGGATGTGCTGGGCTTTCACACAGACCCACACAGAGTACGGCCCCGGCTCCACAGGTGTGTAGGAAACGCCGTACGTCCCGTTGCTGTTGTCGGCCACCGCCGCCTCCACTGTGCTGGAAGGAAACGGCTCCGTCAGAAAAAGCCTCTCACTTTACCCCTCCTCTCAGATTTCAGACAGCACAACCTGACTTGGTTTAATAACATGTTCAGTATCGGGATTTTCAAACTTTTACACCTCAGGTGATTTATGGACTGGTTTTGATCTTTCGTTCACACTGATTAAGGCAGAAACCAGCAGGTTTTGGCTTTTAATGAGCAATTTGGGGCTTCCCGCTGGAAGAATTGATTTGTTTCTGAGGTGTAGCTCCTTCAGGGACATGCACCTCCTGTACTGTTATACTCGTCATAGTTAAAACTCCATGACAGCCCTCTGTCTGTCAGATCCCGATCAAACAAAACAGGGACTGTCGAAATGTTTTTTTTAGGTAAAAAATTCTTCACTTCAAGATGGTTTTGTTAAAAAAAAGCAGTACTGCTAAACAGAGAAGGCAAAAGCTAAGATTGTTGTTTTCTTCTACTCCATTTCTATTCTGGGTGCACAAAATCCATTGTTAAGTTTGAGCAGTTAGGGTTAGGCTTTATATTTTGTATTTATAGATGATCACATTTGAATCTACATCATCTAAAGCAGCAAACCAGCAAGCGGCTAATGGATTCAAAGCAGCCAATATGCTACAGGAAAATAAAGTATACAACAATTATTTATCAAACACTACTAACAATATGATGTAAATAATTCAGTTTTACTCATTTTCACATGATATGACGACGACTCGTTGACGTTTGTTGGTAGAACAGCAGATAAATAATCAAGAATCATCCGTAAACCTTTCTATTTGGGGCTTTTCTTCTTTTGTTTACCTTGTTTTAAAAGATCTGAGTGCCTCTCACATTCCTCTTTCATATGATTTTCATTGGACTGCTGCAGACCTCAGATGTTTACATAAACGTGTAAAGATGTGAACTGACTGTGTATCGTCCACTTAAACATGCCGATCAGACTTTTTTCAAACCCTAAGTTTCACAGGCCTCATCTTATTTTTTTTAAATGAAGGCTGTGTTGATTAGGAAAATAAGAATTTACCTCAGGGAGCTGAGGGAGTTTGTGTGGGTACTGAAAAGCAGCTTGTTGGATAACCACAGTCATTCTGGTGTAATTAGAGGTCGAGGAATGCTCATCTTCTTAATGATAGACCGTACACAGGAAGCACGCAAGCTGCCTTCAGACCACTATTAAGAGTTAATCAGCTAAGGGGGAATTTCCACATGCAAACTGCTGACAAGAATCAGGTATCCGTCTTCCTGCCATCGCTGCCATTAGCAGAATTAAAAGCTGTTTAATCAAAATGGAGCAGACGAGCAGAAGCATCAATAAAACCGCTGAAAACAGAAGACTGCTCAGAGGTCCACGCTCCAAAAGCCCCCACGCGTAAACAAAGGCATCTTCCCGTTGGCCCTGTTTAGTTTTGTCTTTTTGTGCTTCTGACATGGCGGGCGGCCCCCGGAGGCACCCACCAGTTTTTTTTCTCTGTGTGGACGATGCTGACCAGGACGTGCTCTCCCCCTCCAGCCATCTGCTCTCCGGCGGCGTCGCGGCACACCAGGGTGAAGCGGCCCTCCTGGCCCTGCCGGCCCCGCCGCAGACCTGCAGCCACCAGCGGGAGGTTAGAGGCCGGGCAGCTGCACAGGGCAGCTAAAAGCCCGCCTCAGACAAGAGAACGCGTCCGATCTGCTGACTGATGGCTGACTACCAGCGGACTACAGCAGGGAAGAGGTCATGACATGAAATGAACCAGCATATACACATCAAACGTCTCTGAGAGAAAATCGAAGAGAGCTGAGGAGAATTCAGTTAAACACACAGCTGGAACAGCTGGACACGGATCAGAGAGGCGAGTCGGGGGGCTAATCTTTTCAAGAGAATTTCATATTTCTGGGAGCCAGAGTCCCTCTGGGAAACCCCAGTGCTCTGGCTTAATGCTTTGGATCACAAAGCCTCATATGTACCCTCCAATCCACAGAGCAACCCCCCAGGGACTGATGTCTGAGTCCAGCAGGACCTCCGGACTTTACCTCCTCCCTCACCAGCTTATTCGGCTGTGGCTGCCTGAAAGCAAACTTGATTTATGATCGGAGTGTATTAAGGCCCTAGTAACAAACGAGTCTGTTATCGTTCGGCATTTTACAGGAGAGGCTGGACGACCGGATGCGGATGATAAAATCAGTGCTGCTAAAGTCTGACCGAGGAGGAGCATGAGAAAACAGGAGTCTGCTTCAGGTGGACGGGAAGAAGCAGATCAATACGCAATGTTCACATGTCAATAAAAGCCCGGTCAGGACACCGACTGGGGTTTTTCTTCAGACATGAGTGTGAGGATTACAGCTCCAGCCACGCGTTGAGCTGCCGCTCCTGATGGCGGTGTGTGGTGTGTGTGGTGTGCGTGCCTCTGCTCGGCCCAACAGCTTGCAGCTGATGCCATTAAACCTACAGCTGTTGAAGGTCCCAGCTCACCTGTGCTGCAAAGTCCCACCGTGCGCTCCAACACTGGAAATCTTCTTATCGCACAGCGAGGTGATAAGAATCAATGGGCCTCAGATTTCTGTGCACAGATCTGGCCTGTAAACACAGCACCCCCCCGCTGGCGGCGGCTACCTTAATGCCAGCCAAAGAACGGTCACCCGACGGCTGTTAAACGCGTGTACAGAAAAGGAGGGCAGAAGCCAAACACAGAGCTCTGAGGCGACACTTGACACAGACCAAACATTAGCACAGCACTATCGCTCTTGATTCCAACAAGACATGACACAGAGGTCTGTGTTTGCTTTGGATTTCCATCTCTCACACGAGCAAACTGGTTCTTTGCTGCAAAGCTTTCAGATGGAGACGGAAACACGAACCGCAAATCTCCACTGTTAGAGGGGTGTGAACGGGGCCAGACGAGCTGGAAAGGAGCCGCTTCCAATCAGAAAGGAAGCTGTCGAATACCCTGGTGCTGTGAATGCATCATTAAGACAATGAAAAGTCAGACTACTTTCCTATATGTATAAAACAGCAAAGCAGCAATTCTAAACTTTAGAGGCAAATATCTCCAACCATTTGGTCCTCTACTGACTGTAGCATCTGAGTATTGGTTCGGAGTTCAGCGCTTGTCTTTATTCCACCACATGTGTGGACCTGTTATTTCTGTGTGTGAACACACTCCCGGTGCGTCACCCTCAACATTCCTGCAGGTCCAAACCACAGAGCAAACAACCGTAACAACAATCTAAAGGACTGTGTGCCCACTATTCTTCATGCAAGCTCGGTGACAACTTCTGAAAAAAGCAGAAGGGCTTTGAAAAAGAAAAAAATTGGCTCACTTTCTGCTCTTGGTGCTCCCCTTTTTTCTAAGCATTTATTCGTCATTATGGCTCATCTTTAACGTTGTTTCTCTTCTTTATACTTTGGGTTTTTCTCCCCCTGCGGGTGTCTCTCTCGTCAGAGGCTGGACTCATACTCTGGTGTGAGTTGGTTACCTTCCCCCTCTACGGTGCACCTGCTGGCGTCTACGGCCTTAGAGCTGACCACGCCCAGCACGGGGAAGCCGTCCACCTCGCCCGCGGGCTCCCTGGGCATGAAGCGGATCCCGCCGCCGTCGTCGGAGGCTGCCGGGTGGGGGTCCAGGCTGCTCTCGGCCAGCCGGGTGAGCCTCCGCAGGGTCACGCCTTTGGCGCTGAGGATCTCGGCGTCGGAGCCGCAGCTCAGCAGGCGCTCGGCGAACTCCACGCCGCCGGCCAGGTCCAGCAGAGCCTGCTGCAGCTGCTCCCTCTGCAGCTGGAGCCGGTTCCTGCAGGAGAGCCGCACGTCAAACCAACCCCAGAGGATTACTCCTCACATCAACTATTCATCAGAGAAGCTCACATCCTGCTGTAGAAAGAGTTTAGGCTCTTTCTGTTTGGAATGAGAGGAGTGTCAAGAAAAAGAATAAATTCCTGAAATATTATTTTTGAAACAGGGAAATATACAGCACTGAAAGTTATTCTATTATTCACGTCTGAGCTCTTTATAGAACCAGTAAATACAAGACAAGAATGGAAAAAAGAAACAGGGTGGAGGCCTTTTCATAGGGAAAAATTATGTGAATGCAAATAAACAGGAAGGTGAAAACTGTTGAGACAGGAACTGTGTGTGGCTTCCAGCCTAACACCTGGAACAACACAAAGCTGGCATGTTTTATTTGTTTGAAAAGTCCAATCAGATGAACCTGTTGGACAGCGGCCCACGAGGACCGGATTTGGACATTTATTTCTGTACCATGTCTCTGAAAAGTATCCCCTTAAACACAGACCTCGTGTCCTTTTCTACACCTGTTTATTTAGCTTGGGCCCATCCTGGTGCAGCATCATATCTGCTATGCATCATCAGGGCTGATGAGAGTTTTCGGTGGTAATACAGTGATGTGTTCAACCCTTTAGGCCAGGCTGTGCCGACATGAGGCCCAGAGAAGGAGCCAGCAGAAGAAAAAAAGTTAGACCAGCGCCTGGAATGCAGCTGATGTAACTTTGGCTGACACATGAGCTCACGGCTTTATGGCCGCATCACATTTGGTGTGTGTGTGGGGGGAGGTTATACCTGCGATTGAGCCGGAGCTCCTCCAGCCGACGCAGCAGAGACAGGCAGTGGGACTCCACGGCGCTGGCGTAGCCCCGAGCAAACGCTCGAATCTCATTGGCTGTTGCCTCCACGCGCTCCTGCAAAGTCCTCTGGGAGGTTTCCACCTGCAGGAAAATACAACAAAATCTGAATAAGTTCTCTGTGCCACGACGTCTATTAAGCATCTTTTTTCTTTTTTTTTAAATAACCTATAACTTACATAAGAACCTGGTTTGAAGTTACATCACACAGTGGCAGCATTTGGCCAAACAGACAATAGACAGGTCAGAGAAACGTGGAGAAAAGAGCTGAACTCAAAGGCGGGTTTCACAGGACCTTCTGCAGCGACTCCTCCAGCCGCTCCAGGCGGGGGCGCAGAAACACGCCCACCAGCTCCCGGATGCGGTCGCCGTGGAGATGGACCACGTCCTGCGTGGGACAGCAGAGGTGCTCGCGGTGCAGCGTGGCGGCGCACTCCAAGCAGACGGGGAGGTCGCAGGGCCGGCAGAAGAGCCGCAGCTCCTGGCCGGCGTGCAGGGAGCAGAGAACGGGACGGCACAGACGCCCCCCGGCTTTAAGCTCCTCCAGGGCCTGGACGGAGTGGGACGCCGTTCGCTTCTGCCGCCTGCAAAAAGGACAGTACAGGCAGAGAGGCTCATTTCAGAGCCTCACCGGTCATCATCACAAGACAAAACATACGATAGCATATTAATATTTGTGCGCTGATCTTTATGTATGACTAATGCGAACATTTTAATTGTCAAAATCGCACATTTCCTGTACATTTCCTCTGTCTATCTATTTATCTATACATATATGTATATATATATAATTGTGAATTTAAAAACTATTAATCAAAATCAGTTAAATGTAAATGTTTGTGCTCTTTATGCAGAAAACCACATCTACTGTTCAGGATCTGGTTATCATGGACTCAGATTACAAGATATAAGTTACGTAGGTTTTTTTTGTGCCTATTTATTTCCCAGATATATTAGTGTGTGTGTGAATGGGTGAATAAGGTTCATTAACTTAAAGCACTTTGTAGAAAGGCGCTTTATTGAGTTCAGTCGGTTTTGGGCAGTTCTGCCACATCCAAGATGGCGGACTCGTTGACGTATCGCCGCAACGGACGAACAACGGTACGGAGCTACCGAGCTACCGGGGGCCGGAGGGGGGCTACCAGTAAGGGGCTACCGGGCTACTGGGGGCCGGAGGGGGGCTACCGGGCTACCTGGGGGCTACCGGTAAGGAGCTACCGGGGGCCGGAGGATGCCTAAAATACTCCCCACACACTGTCAGCATACAGTTAATAACACCAATCTTCCCTTCACTGCATGTATGCAGGACCAAAGTAGATCCAATGTTTAGACTATGAGAGCTCACAGGAAGTCGTTAAAAGATGAAGGCTCGTGGAACAATATCACCTTGGTGACGGAACCCACGGACCCCCCGGTACCTGTGCGCCTGGCAGCAGAACTCGCACAGGTTGACGCAGCAGACCTCGCAGCGGCTCTCGGCGCCTCCTTCCCCGCAAAGGTCGCACCCCAGCGGGCCTTCGGACACCAGAGTTTCCAGGAACACTTCGTCCAGCGCCAGGTGGTCGGTGCTCAGCCCGGCCGGCCCGGACAGAGGTACCTCCACCTCGGCGTCGCAGTCCGGACAAAGCACCGTGACGGAGGTCCGGTTCCCCTCCGCCGCCTCGAGGCTCCGCGACGACGCCGAAAACGGCTCCAGCTGGGCGATGCAGTCCGAGCAGAAGGTGTGCAGGCAGGGGAGGATTTTCGGGTCCCGGTACAGGCGTTTACACGCCTTACAAACCGCCCTGGGGTTCAGAGAACCGCTTTTCGGCGTCGGCTTCGCATTTTTCGCGGCTTTTTCTGCAGTTTTTGTCGGTTCTGACTGCGACATGCTGTTTTTTTTTTTGTTGTTGTGGGGGGCTCCTGAGAAGAAAACTTGGACCCACCGTCAAACCCACCGAGCTCAATAAGTTTTCAGAGCTTTAGAAAGTTAATTTCTTCTTTCCAGGTGCGAAAAAAAGCGCCGCCTCTTGATGCTGGTTACCAAAATGTCCCTACACTTTTACACAAATT